GGTTGGTATTTGATCTGTTTCTGTAGCTGACCGTTTAAGTTATTTTTTTCATTATTGTGGTGGCTTTATTTGTTTGTCCGTACTGAATGACCTTACCATGGGTCGCGTCGCTGAAACCTCTTCGCGCTCCACTGTGCGTACCTTTTTTAGTCAACCTGTAGTCCAAAAAGTTCCCGCTGTAGAATACTGTGGTTCATTTGGTCCTTTTCCGGATCTGTATTGATTTATACTTTCCTTCTCACCAAAATTTCTATCAACCTCATTACTGACTTTTCTGCCTTTCCGGTCTAGTTTTCGGAGCACGTCATGCGTTGGGGTCCCCATCGAGGGAGTCGTATCTGGTTGCTGGGGGGGGGGGGGGAGGATGGGTGTGAGAAAAATGTTCTCGGTTCTTCTTGGTTCAAGTACGTTATACGTTTCCGTTCCCCTCCCCCGGCTCGACGGTTTTTTTTCTTCGAGAAAAGTGGAGGGATTTTCAGCAAAAAAAACAGAAAGAGATAGGAAGCTGTGAAAATTTATGAAAATGGTAGGTAGGATGGGGAATGGATGTTGTATTAGAGAAGCAGATTCTGTAAGGGTTCGTATTTTGCAAAAGAAAATTTCTCCAGAGACGCGCACGGCTGGTTTTATTGACTGATCTTATTTAGTTGCTTATTTTCAGCTTATTTCTTGTGTTCATTTTCTTTTTTAACACGTTGACGACAATCGCGTTTGGAGGGAAAGCGCCGTGTGGGACAATGGCGTGTTTTCGCATGCGTCCGCTTTGAGCCATATTGTCCCGTCGGACCACTTTTTTGCCGCTATGTCAAATTTCGCAAAATGATTAGTCAATCGTGCAGGGACTGCTATTTCAACCATCCTTGACCCTACTGGATGCCATCTCATGCCCCGCCCTCTGCGATCACGCCCACTTTTAACGCGATCGTGATTTCCAAAATGTGCGCCCGCTGGCGCCAAAGCCAACGATTTATTCGTGACAAGGATGTCAAAACTAGCTATGGAGGTTTCTACCTCATTCGGTGCCAAAAAGACTGCTAGCGCCGAAATGGCGCCTACTGGCGCCAACGACAAATAAGATCTGGCGCCATATGGCGCCAACGAAGATCTCACGTTCATGATCAAAGCCCCGCGCAGTCCTCTGCAGCCAAGGTTCCGTTCAAAAAGAACTATTTTGGAGGTTTCTGCCGCAGCAGTAGCTAGTTGAAAAATTTCAATTTTTAATTCAAAATATCTCATGGAGGCAGCAACATTTTTCTTGCTCATCCCTGTTGGACATTCACCTTTCACAGGTTATTCGAAAGCAAGAAAAAGATCGATTGAGACTGCCGGCAATAACCCGAAAAGTGATGGAGAAAGTTATGAGCCACCGGTGGCTCATATGTCGTCAACGTGTTAACTGGTTTCCTTGACGTTTGCATGATTATATGGTTAGTGAATAGTCTTTTGTTTATTTCAGGGAGTTGGTGAGGAATATGATGGGATTGATTGGAAACATTGCTGAAGTCGATGGTCTACGGTCACAGCTGATGAACGATGACTATGTAAAAATATTCTCGTGAGTCCGACGCATATTTTTTTAGCATTTTTCAGTAGATGAATAATTGAGACTGTTATATGTTCTTGTCAGAGCTTTGTTGGATTTGGTAGAAGACTCGATTGAGATCAGCTATAATAGCGCCGGTGTTCTTGCACATATGGTCAGTGACGGCGAAGAGGCGTGGAGTGGATTGACAGTACGAAGGGAACAAGTTATGGCTAGTGTTGTGAAGGTAGGTGTGAATTGATAACTATTTTCCATTTCTTTAACGTTTTCCTTCCGCCATTCGCGGAACCTTGTCAGCATTGGCTGTAATGGGCACGTATAACGCTAATTGCTGACTCGGGTGCCACATTTACATGGCTGGCCTTGCTTGAAAAAGAGACTGCACGGTATTGTGCACAGGATTAATCAATCAGTCTTAGGTTCTAAGTGTCCCATGCATTCATTGTGAGCTATGATATGAAGGCTTAGGCCTGAGGCGGAAGGTGGTATTGTGGCAAGAGACACCGCTCAGCACGCGCGCAGTCCGGGGTTCGAATCCCGGATCGGCTACTGCCTAAAGCAACCAAGTATTCCATGCTCAGGGGGGAGGTAAACTGGTACCAGATCCGTCTGGAGAGGTAGTAACTGACTTGCATATCCGGGATCCCGCAAAGCGTTGTACAGGCCGAATTGCATTCAATAAGCCACTACAGTTCTAAATGGAAGCTGAATGCGTGGTGCATCCCAATAAAAGGCTCGATCGATGGCGAAGAGCTTATCCCCCTTTAAGTTGGCACGGACATAGTTGATAGGGGGGATACCGCTTGGTCGCGACCCTTTGCTCTTCCTAACTGTGGTTTAGCGCGCTCGGAGGTGAAGCAGATGTTCGCCAAGGTATTTAAACTGAATTTTAACCATTTAACTCAGTAGAAACTTTTGAAAATTTGATCACGAATTCGAAGCACCCGAAAAACCTTGTTTTTTACAGGCTACGGAAAGCACTGGCGTTTGACACGAGGACGATCATAAACTATCGTTCATCCTTCCTATGCTCGTTTGCTCCCCTTGGCATGCGCTACGCTAGCAACATTGGGCCGTTGGCGTGGCTATCTAACTGACGACAGGACGGGAGCGAAGTGAGTCGTTTTTGTTGTTTCGAGGTTTTTCTTGTTAATCAAATTCGTTACGGTCTGCTTGTTCCTTGAGTGCTATGGGCGCTCTTTATTTATCTATTTGCTTATTTTCTAATTCTGCTTTGCATTTTCAATTTTAGGTTGCGTAACTTAAGTTCCTTTTTCAAACCAAATTCACCCCTTTTCAAACCAAATTCACCCCTTTTCAAATCAAATTCACCATCACTTTCCAAATCAAATTAACCACACTTATTAGGCCGGGCAACTCATCAACCAGATCACGCAGACACCACTGCGAGCCCGCCCCAACGGCCACGCTACTTCGTCAGCGCTGCATAGATTTTCAGATTTTCAAATCTTGTTTCATAACTTCTGCTTATGTGACTTTTCTTATCTTTTGCTGTTTCCCACAAACACTTTGACTGAAAACGACTGGGCATTGACACATGGCCGACTCCGCCCATTCTCTAGAGTTTGGCAATCTGAAGCTCCCTCCTTGGACCACTTCACTTGCTTTCGCGGGAAAAAAATTTTTGGGATATTTTTTCAAAATTTTTGCATTTTTATGGGCTGCTGCCTGCGTGAAGCTCCCCCACTTTCAAGTAGCTCTGCCCCCTTGTAAAAAAAATGGTTGCAGGTCGGCAGTATGAGGCCTCTCGGCTGCACGCTATTGTATTAATTGATCATTCGGAGCAAATTTTTACCTGATTTCTTAGTTCGAGTGAGAACGAGACCCTAGTTGAAAGCAATACCCTGCAGAGTTTCACCATTTTTGAAAGTGGCGGGACTGTCTTTGAGTAGACGGACGCTCTCGTTCAGCGGGGCGGGGCTCCACCGATAGCAGTCATAAAATGCAAAAATTGAAAATATCAGAAATTCCGCAACAAGCAAGTGGCCGTGGTCAAGGGGATGGGGTGGGGCTCGCAGTGGTGTCTGCGTGATCTGGTTGATGAGTTGCCGGCCTAATAAGTGTGGTTAATTTGATTTGAAAAGGGTGAATTTGATTTGAAAAAGGGTGAATTTGGTTTGAAATTCTTTGATCAAAATCATTCCTGTTTCAACCATAAGCGGTATTGTTGTCTTGCGGTTCAGTGCTGATAGTTGGTTTAGACGAGGTATTGGAGATAATTGCTCTTCAGAAGAAGGGTAAAGTAACGGAACGTGGCTATAGTTCCCAACACTTTATAATTCATCTCAAAGTTTCTTTCCCAAATCGTGCGTTCATGCTTTCTGGACTTTATTAGGATTTCATAGATTGTTGAAGGAGTAGATGGTTGCGGTCCGTTTGGGGATATCATGTACGCTTCAGCGAAGCATGCAGATCGTTTGGTGAGACCCCTGTGCCAAGTCTTGTTCGTTGCGGGAATGATTCGGGCGTGGCAGTGAGCCTGGATTCGGCACCCTAGCCACCCCGCCCGTTCTCTGCTGCGTCCTTGAGCGGATCGTTAAGCGACAATAACTGGTGAAAATCGCGGGAATTTTATGATACGAAGGGCTATTGCTACTGTCTGTCGCTGTAGGGAAGAAAGAAAGAAAAAAAGAAATGAGTTGCACCGCGCTAAACTTATCCTCCCCCCTGTGACAAGCCTCATCATCCGTAGCGAGCAAGAGCATGAATCCCTGTGACAAAAGTGTTTGACCTACACCACCCAATTTCTCTCTTACCGGTACAAAGGCTCGCCCCTCCCCCATCCTCCTCCCACCTGCTGGCTTGCTATGTTACCTGTTTTCTGAGATTTTTCACACAGATTCTGCAGTTATTCGTAGAAAAAAAAATTGGAAATGAGAGCAATGGGGGGGAGGGGTGTCGTCTCACGAAGACGCGAGAGGACCGAAGCAATGTCAACAACCGACAGCTTCCTCGGAGGGCAAATACGTCCTGCCACAGTGGGAACCCCTCACGTGTGGCGTGCCCCCTTTGTAACGCCGTTCAATTTAAAAAGGAATATTAAAATTCACATTTTGGACACATTTAAAAAATAGTGTCATCTCTTCTCCAAGATTCTTGCTATTTATTTTCCTTTTCGTTATTTTTTGTTACAAATATTTTCGTTTGCTACGAGCTCGGATTTTTTAACCCTCCCTTGATGAAGAGATTAGTTTTTTTCCCGCATATTTTCAGTGTTTTTCCTTAGCGTATGCTGGCATACGTGACGATGAAGTGTGCATTCCCGTACTGCCAAGAATGGAGCGACCCACGCACTACGGAACCGGTTCGTCGTCTGGCAAAGATGGTACTCGACAATATTGAGAGTTGGTCAGTATATTGATTTTATTTTTTTTGTACTTCTACCTTCTCGAATTTCACTTGGTTTTTTCTGTCTTCATTTGCTTACTATGTTACTTGCGAGTGTTGTTCGAATCTTCCCAATAGTGTGTAATGAACATAAAACATTTGGCGCTGTTTCGCAGTTAAGGTGCCATGCGCCGCATTAGCCTAGTTTGTTTTTCAACCTATCAACGCCTCGGGTCACTTATAACAGGTCTCACTTTGCTGACCCTGTGAACTCTTCCGAAACTGTGAAATGGTGCAAGTGAGCCTCTCTGACACATGACTTCACAGGTCTTCGCAAAGTGGCCTGTACAGGCTTCGCCGACCAATTCGGTGCCCCACCGAGCCGACCTGCGCCAGTATTCTCATTGCAGCAGTCATATAGAAAGATTGAGAGCATTATCAAAAAGTCGTTCCCATTAGATCGGTCGTTTTTGCCATGCAAAATTAAGCCTATAGCCTGAAGGAATATCACATCTGGACCAGGTTTTCTTCAGCCTCTCCTAATTTTTTCACAACACTTCATGTTAATATGGTGCTAGAATCGGGATGGCCGCTTCATTTCGGCTTTCAAATGCATCGTATTTTATCTCTGCCTTAGAAAAAGCCACGTTCGCACTCGCCCAATTTGAATGCATTAATTTCTTGAAATAAACAAAAAAGTAAAGCCAGTCCACGTTATGGATGAATGCTTTGAAATTTATGCATGAACGTAAAAAATTCTGCGCACTTGCGAACGGTTTTGAGCGTTCGGAAATAATTCCAGCTGCGACTTTTTTAAAGAGATTTGCTTTAAAAACATAGACCTCGCCACGGTATATTGTGGGTAATGGCGTTCATTTACGAACCTAGTCGCCTCCACAGGGAAGAAAAAAAAAGCAAAAAAAAACTCATGGAGAATACCATAATTGAGGACCTCTTGGTAGCTTCATTTTGCTACTTATCCGGACCTGCTCGTTTTATGAGCAACAAGCGATATCACATAGCCCACTCTGAATCTCTTGATCGTTTCTGGCTCAATTTTCACTATTAATGTCACCTTACAGTGTAAAAAAACCAAAAGCACGGTGTAAAAATTGAACCCGCGACAGCAAATAGATTTTGAGTTTTGGTGGGTGGGGAACTAGGGAGGCGTCAGAACTGCCGCTTATGAGAGCAAAAGCGCCGCTAATTCTTGCGAAGCCGCGAAAACGGACAGTCTTGAGACTGAGGGCCAGACTATTTGTTCAAGGAAGGACGGCTACCAATGCTCGAGCGCGGGAACTGTCTCTAAAGGAATAATGGTGACCTTCCACAGTTTGACTTACAAAACTCAGTTTACGGAGATGTGTTCCACAAGGGAGAGGGGGGGGAAGGGTCCTCATTTTCCGCTGGTTTGCAATACAGTACAATTTTCGGCGCAGTTTGTCGACCGGGCGGGGCATTTTCCTTCCACACGATGTTGACCCATCTAGGCAGCCGTTCTCTAGTGGCTAGACGATCTTAGTTCAGCTTCACAAGAGTTCACAAGTTTTACCAGAGTGAGATTTGTAAACCGGAACTAGGGAAGCAATGATAATACAAAATGCCCCCCCCCCGTCGACAAACAGCGCCCAGTTTTCGATAGGCGATTGTTATCGTGAGGCTTGCGTCCATTTTAGCTGTAGAGAATTCTCTGGGAAGCTTGCAGGGGAATAGTCGTCCTCATAGGTAATCTTTTTTTCACGTTGTCATAGTCTCTGGCCTTACTTCGAGTAGGCGTGCAGAAGTCTCATTACTGGCTCTACCAGTACATTCCTACTGCCTCAATTTGAATAAATGAATAAATTAATAAAAATTTTAGGCGTACTCTCTCAGAAAGAGAGCGGATGTGTGAAGGTGAATTAATGACGGAGAGCATGGAGATGATGGACACGTCATAGGTATTGCGTGGTGTTTCAATGGATAGCCAAAAGAAGCGCCCCTTGTCGTCAACTCGTCGTGATCTCCCTCCGTCTGTGTTAGCGACAAGGTGGCGAGCTCATCTATGCACATTCTTTAACTATACTACTTTATAGCTAAGTTCATTATGTGTGCAGTTTGATTGCGATGTTGCAATTCTTATCCGGTTGGTCAATAATCCCTGTTATCGTCGTGCTTACCCTCAGGGTTCACTGACCCCCCTATAGTTGACCCAGTTCAGCTGTCTGTCCATTATTGACCGTAATTGGCTCGAATTCGCTTTACGCGCCTATGCGTACAATATGCTCTTCATATATGTGGTTTGTATGGCTTCAGCGAACTTCCTTTCTTTCCTTTTACTTCATCGTTTTCCTTCCAATTCATCCTATATATGGTGTCAAATCGGGTCAATGAATAATCCACCAATGATTCCATTTAAATTTTTTTGTTCGTCGACATTTCGTGTATCGTACCCGTGTGGACCTGATTTCTTTCTGAATTTTCTCGGAAGAGTCCCAAATATCCCCTCCGCTCTTCGTCTCTTTTGGTTCGCATCTACAGGTCTAACCTTCTTCTCGATTTGTGTGTGTGTTGTCATCTTTAATGATTATTTTATGCGTACCCAAAGACAGCTGCTATATGGTTAGTATTTTTCTCAGGAAAGACGATTTTTCATTGTCGACCTCTTTCACCCTGGTCTCTGACCCCTTAACCCCGGGATAGCAGGGTTCGAAATGTTTCTGTGATAATATTGAAGCTCTCCATTCCCGCTGTGGGCTTGAGTCTGCTAGGGTGGCAGGGTTTGTAACGACAGTGGGCGCAACGTCTTTCTCATAAATTTTTATTCCCGATGTCCAAATCATTGATTGATTGGTGTATTGATTGACATGGCCATGGGAAATTTACCAGAGAATTCTAGAGTACCTTCTCGTTTTCCTTCCAATCCCCTCAAGCGAT